AAACGTGAAAAACTTTCGTTGGACGAATTTTCTTGTAAACTTCATATTTACTGAGATATCGCACTTTGACGCACTAATGAGCAACCCTGTATATTGTAAGCAACCTGGGAAAACGGAGCAACCACGGCCAGAGCGGCAACACTGGTAAGTGGGACACACCCAGGACGGGAGTGGCAACATCGGGGCTACTCCATGGCTAGGACAGGAGACGGCGCGGCGGTACTTCCGGGCAACAACACAGAACATCCCTGGGGGGATATTCTGTGGGAAAAACAACTAGTGGGGTTGCCAGGGGAGATGGATTATTGATTTTGACGGTGACGGTGCAAAGCGTTCATTAAAATTATTGAATTTTGCATCGATCGTATTCTTCCTGAAATTTAACCCTAACAATATTATCATTGCAGCTCAAGTGTTGGTGCGGACTTGTGAGTTGATTTTTTTCCCTCAATAAATTACTGCTTTGTAGTAAAGCTCCCCAAAATGTTGTCCTAGCCTTAATTCCCATAAGGAAAGCGCCATTACCAGCAGACCCGAAACGAAAACAACATTATAATGTGCTAGATTGTCAAAGTTTTAATATGTTCACTTGTACCTATTAGGGTATTCGTTTTAATGAAAAGTATGCTTAGAGAAAGAACGTTAGTCTACCAATCATTAATAATAAAAGTCTTAAAACTTTGGAAACCAGCTTAATGTTTTATCGTTATTTTCATGTGCTGCAATGACGACTCTCATCAAAATTGCGATGTCAGGAAAACTTGGGAAACATGAAACTTTCGCCAGTCTCTAAATAATACGCTTTTGCTTTGTTTTATTGGGTTTAGCCAACACGTTCAGCTTTTTTGTGTAGTTTACTAATGGATTAGACCACTGTTGATTAATTATCTAAAATTGAACGGCGCCACTTTTCAGTGTTCTGCTATTTCGAACTTTGTTAGCCCAGTGGAAATTCTGGCCTGGAAAATGACATAGTTTGAATATGACCAGAAAACGCCATTACGATTACAGCAGAATTTTGTTGGAATGTTGGCCACCAACATTTTATTAAGCATAAATCAGAACGTTACCTGAATATATTTTTTGCATTATAAAGTAAACCGGGCCATTGATATAAATAAAATTGACTAATTTAATTTTCACTTCAAATGTTTTTATTCATTTTTCAGTTATCTTAATCAGCAAGCAAATTTTAATTTTGGGAAGCATGACTTCAAGAACTTAGCCATTTTTGCCCTGGCTTAAATAATATACAAAAATACTCTCTACATTCTGCAATATAATGGAAAATTGCACGATCCGCAGCAATAACATGTAAATAGGGAAGATGAGCTTACCTGACGTATATTGAACTGTGAAAAGCTGTCGGGTTATCTTGTTCACAGAATCTCGGTAGAGATCCCTGCAAAATTGCCAATCTAAGAGCGAGTATCACGACAGTCTGAAATAATATGGGAATACGAATTAGTTTTCTATATAGCTATATCTGGTAGATAACTTGACGATTGATAGACTCGTTTAGTTTCTTACTGTTTAATCCTAGCAAAATTTTCAAACAGAATCAAAGTTTGTAGGTGCCAATCCGGAAAACCTGATTTTTGGATTGTTTTTATATCAATGTTTGTACGTTGCATGCACCCATATGCTACAAAATGAGCACCTTAACGTCATATGGGGTGTTAGCTGGGGCTTTCAGCTACCTACCTACCAAATTTCTATATAGCTTGTTCCGTAAACATCTAATGGCATTTTTTCTTAAAAAATTGACATATCAAAAACTAGATAATAAAAGAGATAAGTTAACAAAACTAGGTTTTAAACGTAGGGTGAACAAAACTCGCAATTCGAGGGTCAACCCAACCATGCTAAAGGAATGAGGGGTTTGCATTTAAAATGAGAAAGTTAAGTGATTGATATACACTGTATAGCTAGAGGGCTAAATGTATTTAACATGGTCCGACTCGTTATGACGGTAAAGCACGGTCTAGGTAAATCACCCTGTATAAGTGTTTCTAAATGTGTCACTTCGAAGAACAATGAAGAAGAGAGTGATTGTTGTCCCGATCATCGATAAGGTGAAGACATGCCTATTTTTTTCGATTTTACTTTAGAGCATAGCTTTTTAAAGCTCGTAGTAAATTTATCGGATTCATTTTGCTAGTAAGCTACTTTTGTGAGTAAAAGAACATATTACTTACCGAGCACAACACTTTGGTTACCCTGCACCTGAAATCCAAGCATTCTTGATTCCACCGCAACTCTATGATTGTCCTAAAATGAATCACCAATGTTGATATGAGATTTTACATTCTAAGCCATTAGCAAATAATAAATTAGTTTCTTCAATTCGACAGGACTCTAATAATCGGACACTGTAATTGCATATCGGAATATCTTCATAAACATTATGGGGTGTATATAAAATAAATCATGTTATGTCCATTGACAATAGAAACGTATTAAACGTGGATCTGTTTTATTTTTATTTTGAATTTGGTACTTCGTACGTTTACTGTTCAGCAGATTTTATGACAACAATACGGTGTGCGCATCTGGAATTTTATCGATCGTAAAAAACCATATGGGCCACATTTATAGTTAAAATGAAGTAAATGTTTAGCCCTTTTCTATAAATGATTTGCCATGAGGACGAGGTTAATACTTTAACGTCCTATTTTGCCATTTCCTAGATCTACCACCTACTTTTTAATGTTCGGCCATTGCAGGTACATGTCATAACCGAGATTTATCAAAAACACGGTCACTCCGGTTTCTTTCGCCATCATGCTCATCGCACCCATCACTATGCTAATCCATACATAGGAACGTCCTTCTGGTGAATGCCTGAAATCAATATAGTTTTTATTACATTTTTTTTTGAGTTATTTTCCTGACTGCGTGTAATAAATCGAAATTTGTGTATCGTTTATTTCATAACGTTTCGGCGAAACAACAGCACCATCATCAGATTTATTCTGCTTATCATCGCTTTATAATTTTTAGTTTTTGTATTACAACATATTGTAATTGCAAATTGGTGTTTGTAGTTTGTATGAATTTTAAATCTGATGATGGCGCTGTTGTCTCGCCGAAACGTTATGAAATAAACTATACATATACAAATTTTTATTTCACACGTTGACTGAAACCCAGGAAGGAAAAGAATATAATAATAGTTTTTTACAAACTTCTTTTTGGGTATTTCGCCTCAAAAATTTCTGTCTTTAAAAAATACAGAATTTCCTCACGTCCTTTATTACAGATTGATAAATAGTGCT